CGGTTCACTAAAATACATGTGTGATTCACTTGTATATCAAAGAACTCTGTTTGCAAAGCTTGCCACCATACATCATCATCAGGGCCTGCAAGAGCTGTACGAACTGACTTGGGCAGCTTGTCCGTAGTTGAGATAAAGTAATTGGAAAGCTAAAAGCCATGTAACCTTACGTTTGGAAGACGTGTACGTATCGATCTGCGAATCGTAACTACTGGGTATTTGGTGTGTGTTTTCCGACGTCGTTTAACTTCAACCAAACCCGGTTGTCGCTTTTTCCAACATGAATTGTACATCTTGTATTATCTTCATGTCCATCGACACGAATTGTAGAAGTGAAGTCACGATTTGGAGTATCATAAGTCTGGGCCAGCTCCCCCACTCGTCTGCGTTTCGCAGGACTCGTGTTGTTTTTATCGAGCTCAAGCTCCCCCGCTTTTCTAGCTTTTTTCTCTTCCACTACATCGCCTCAAACCTTAGCATCCATAGGACCGACTTCATCGAAGCTATGCAACGCCAGTGCAGTTCCATCGCTGCTACAGGAGCTCGAGTAGTCATGAAGAGGAAGCTTCGCATACGGGATTGAAACATGTAGCACCACACCAGACTTCTTCGGGTAGAACGTCTCAAACAACTGATCCACATAATCAGCCGCCACTGTCCACTGCTCGCGAAACCTTACGTCACGTGACACCACAATGTGTCCGGTAACAAGATCGAGGACACGATATCCAGTCGTGGATTTAGGGTATCCTCGAAATAATGCTTCTTTCACTGTCGTATCTTGTTTACCTTTTCGTCTTTGCTTAGGGACGAAATACGCTGCAGCACAGCCACGCACACGTCGACCAGGTACATCAGGTTTACGACCTCCGAATAACTCGTAAGGTGTACTGCCTTCAATGGCTTTGGATGGTGAGAAGTTGCGTATTGTTACCACAAACTTGAATGCCTCTCCCCATAGTTTTGTCGGAAGTCCACTGGTTACGAGGAGAGCGCGAACGGATCGCAGTACTACACCATTCATCTTTTCCACGATACTGTTTTCCTCGGGTTTATACTATTTGTATACACCGGACGAACTCCATTGTCTCAGAGGACTTGTTGTAGTTTTTGATTTACAAACTCAGTTCCTTGATCAGACCCCAGGATTCTGACAGGTCGCTCACATTGCTTTAGCTGTAAGATCAAGGTCTTCAAGCTGTATGAACATTAAGACTTTTGACGGAGTAAGAAGCCCCAGAGGTATCGTAGGTATTCATTCTCCACGGGCTGAAACATCACGTTTCCAGCAACCGAAGCCTCACCATAGTGACAGACATCGACCATCAGTACTTCACAACACCTCATTGATCGACATGGAGACACGTTCTTGTATGACATTCTTCGCGATTTCGCTCATGTACAGCTTAGGCAACCCATCGCATCTCTAGTGCGCTCACTAGGAGATATTTTCATGCCTGTAACCATCTGATCACGATGAAGCTGCTGCAATGCTGCAAAATTTTACATGACCAAAGCGAAGATGCCACCGAAATGTCGATTCACCTTCAGCCACAACTGACGCAACAACTTGAGGTGAATTACACAAACCACAAGTGCGATAGTAACGTCGACTCTTGATAAACACTATTGCTGTCGGCCCCTTCCATAACAGCCGTCTCGGAGGTCCGTCCTGAGGATATCGTGACTCACATTGCCAGCCTTGCTCTTCAATTGCATTAACACTTTGCAGATTAACAAGGCATCAAACAACAATACAGACTCCAGTAAGAACGCAATGAAGCGCTTCTCCAGTTTCATCACGTCGTTTTTGTGTGGATAGGAATGATACAGTCAATTGAGATACCAAATGGTCCGTTATTACATCTCCTGTCCACCATTCATGCGGCGTGCTCGTCTCCACGTAGTGCGGGAACTGTGTCATGAGTGATCCGTCATTGCAGATATGCGTAATAGCTGCTGTGTCTAATATAAAATAATGAATTAGAGGAATCAGACGTCGACAACAATGTAGGCCCAGTACTTGACACATCACAAGTATTTTCAACACGACCGATCATTCCCAATGGTAACGGCTAAGGAGGTCCACCTTTGTTTCCCCCATATCCTCTGGAACTATCACCAGAATTGCTGCCACACTTTGCCTTTTCAGTACCTACATTGCCGTGCTTCAGATCAAATTTGAGCTCACGACACTCAATTTGTGACGGCCTTCTTTAACACAAAAGAAGCACTTGCCCTTCTTTCGTTTACCAGGACCAGATTTTTTATTTGGCTTTGCTTCCTTCTTCACTGGATTTAGCTCCACCAGATTGTGCTCCACCGGGCTTAATCTAGCTGTATGTTTACTAGATTTGTCAACCGTCTTCTGTTTCTTAGCCACGTGCATGATCTGCAAATTTCCTTCTTCCTCAATGCGGACGATCTCATCCATCTTGGTCTCGGACTTCAGTGTGTTCAAGACTTGCTGCAGAGTGGGTTGGGACCCGGGAGCCATGATACGAGAAAACTGACACACGACATATCTGTGTGTCTGCACTACTCCTATGCGAATCACGTCCATAGTGAGATCATCATAGGTTAGCCAACGTTTGACGTGTGTCGTGAATCTCCTGAAGCCAAGAATGCATCGCTTGCTCACGAGTGTAAGTTGCGTGGAAAAAATGCTTCAATACCCACACGTAATTAGAAAATTCATGTTTTGTATGGTGTGCTTCCAGATCTTCCCACATTTCCTTGCCAGTTGAAAGATCACACATACGCTCAGCGTCTTCAATTTTAGCACCACGAAGCAACGCATCTTTCGCAAAGAGGTCCAACATGTCGTAGCGTTGTTGAAGTTTCCCATTTACAGTCGGACGCTGTACGGATCCATCGACCAGACCCCAAGTATTAAACCGATGTAAATAGTTCATAACTTGAGTGCGATAGAGGTTAAAGCTTCCTGTCATCTATGGTGGGGTTCTGTCCGCATCCATCGCCAGGTTAGGCGGTGGCAATGGTATCGTTTGATGTTGTTCTCCATTAGCGTGCAATCTCGCTGAAGCATTTACCACCGGAGTTCCTGTCAAAATGAGCGTTGAAGGTGGTGAGCTCATCGCAGGAGCAGACTGCGGCTGTGGAGGCTGAAGGACAGGAATCCCGCCAGCACCACTAACCAGCGGACCTACCAGTTCCGCCGCTGCTGACGCTTCAGGCGTTGATACAGCCATCAACCGTCGCGACGCGGTCGCAGACGGAGTTCCAAGTCTGACATCGAAGGTAGCGTCCACGACATCGTCAGCGTTCACGTAAGTTCTGGAAGCTTACTCCAATCTTGGGCTCATATCCTAACAGTGAAAGTCTGCTACTCGTTCACTTGCAGAGGTCGCGTACGATGTCTGGGCAGTGAGCACGACGGAAGAAGTAAGCGTCAACACAATACTCGCCCCACACTTGGCAGATTGGGAATTGCTGGAGCTCGCACACTTTGTGGACTCCGTTAGAAATAAAAAATGTCAACCAAGCGTCTAACGGGTGTGTGACTACCAATACTAAAAATACTTCTGGTTTCGGAGACTGTGACGTCCAGGTCTCATATGATGACTTTACCTACCAGGTGGGGCTGCCTTTCTTTCGCACGGGGTCCCACCGAACAGCAGCACGAGGCATAAATGAAAAAAATACCTTCTTAGCATAGGCGAGTCTAGCCGACTTCGCAGAGGCGGTTATTGCGTCCTCACCCGGATACGCTTCACCAAACGCTCCAAAGTTCATCCATCTGCTATCGTCCTCGGGTGGGATGCTAAGCAGCTCCTGGTCGCTAAACACTGTCTCCGACTTTATACTCACGGTTGTCGTTGAAGTTCAGGAACTCTGCTACAATTTCTTTGAAGCACTTTGGTCTCATTGCATGAGTCATGTTTTTGAGTGCTGTGCAACAAAGATAGAAATATATCACTTGAAGTTTTTAAAGATTAGTAGCACTTTCTAGCAGCACTACAAACGATCAATGCAACAAATTTCGCAAACGATACCTTGATCTGTGCAGAAGTACCCGCACTCTCTGCGATCAGTACCAAAGCAATTCAAATAATATAACCTTGGTTGGAAAAGTTCGGTCACACATCAGTGCTGTAAAGCATGCAAATTGTCGCAATGAGTTTACTAGTTTTTTTTTTCATTGCAAGAATCAATCGTTAAAATTATAAATTTAATTGCATTTTCTCCAATGATATTTTTTGCAGATGACAGCTGCTTTTTCTTTTCTCCACCAAAAAAACATAACAATGCCGAATCCTAGACTGACCTTTGCTGCCGTACACTTTATTTGTATGACTCAAGCACAACCTTCACATCGTGATTTATGGTTATGAAAGTAGTAATATTCAGACGAAAACTCAGCCCGTTTATTTTCTTAATTAAATTTAACAAGGAGAATAGGTCTAGTCGTTTCTAAGTACAAGGAGCAGTTTCTAACGGGGCAACCGCTCGACCACCTGACCGTTACTTTAGAAGGAACCTTAAATAGATTCAATACAGCTAGATGATGACAAATGATAAAATGAGTAAACAAAAATAATAATATAAAAAAGGATAAACACGGACTTACAGTGATCAAAGATCGATATATTTAAGTCAATTAGTTCTGAAGTAATTCATCAATAGCAGCACATAGCTTCGGAGCTTTTTTCCGTAGAAAATATACACGATCGAAGCCAGTGTAAATATTCTTTATCAAGTGTAAACACTTGCGACTTCCCCTTGTACTTTCCAAAATTTAGCAAATACGATCCATCGTCGGGTTCATTACCAAACTTACTCGGTAGAAATTTTGCAATATCAGAATCAGGAGCACTGGCAAGCATTTCCTGAGATCGGAGCCAGCGACAATAGCCTGGATCCTTAAGAAAGACCTCTCCGATGGTTGAACCTTTGTGCTTGCCGAAGCAGAGTTGTGTGGACATGGTATCTATATAACAATACAGATTATTAACTGAAATGTATAATAAATATTTACCTTAAGCAATTGTAAAATCTAAAATATCACCTGTTAGACGACCATAGTTCAGCTCCTGCTCACAGATTACGAGGACTAGCATATTAACACCCTGGCAACCAGCGTTAACACCTTGAATCTGAATGGCATGTGGTACATCACGTTCCGTCAAGCGACTAACATCAGCAAAGAGAACACGGTTTGTTGGCGACCAAGTTTGGTAGTCAAGTAGACCATTGACAAGTTCAAGAGTCAGATCACCGTTGATTGCACTAATCTTGGCAACCTCGTTGGTGAACTCATGAAAGTCATAATCGTGAGAAATATCAAAGCACTGCGTAGAACCGATGCGGACATTGAAAGTGCGAATCGAAGAGCCAGGGTGTAGAGTCCAAGGTTGAAATTCTTGAGCGAGGGCAGAGTTAAAGCTACTTGTTTGCTCAGCAAACGGGAGCAGAATGACATACTTCGCATTTTTTACACTAGCGGATAGTTGAAGATCAAAAGCTGCGTTTAGTTGTGTTGACTGTTTACCAGTGCCAGCCCGTTCGTAAAACCATTGAGCGTAGCAATCGTTGAAACGTACCTTCTTCACATGTTTTAGACAATTGCCTGGGGGTTCTCTAAATGAACGAATGGTACGTAAAGTTGAGCAGTCGTGAAAGGCATGTACGTACCATCAATAGTAAGATCGAGTGAGTCTACAACAGCTCCCCACGCGATACTGAAACGCGCAGAAGCTGCAAGTACACTCGCCATTGGATTACAAGTGCTTGAGGCGGCAACCATCACGGGACATGTATTACCCGATGCAAGAGTAGTTGAAGTTAGCTTCATCCCCTTACCAGCATCAACAGCCACCGCTGATACACCTTGGTCTACTCTGAAGCAAAGACGGATCTGGGGATTCGCCATTAGATCAAGTTCCTTCAAGATTGGGTGAAGATCATCTAACTTAATCTTAAGCATGTAGTTCCACGTACCTATGATTGCATTGGCAGTAGCAGCTCCAGCTACAAAGGCAACGCGCGCGGTCTGGTTAGCAATGGTTGTAGAAGCAGCAGCAGCTCCAAGGGAAGGCCAAGAAGCGCTGAAATCAGAACCAGCAGATGGAGGGTTTGATAGCAGTCGCTTTACAAGACCATCGCTAGCAATAGAAGCTCCACCGGATGGTCCAGTCGCAGCAAACGAAGGAGAAAATGCTGTAGTGTTCGAATAGCCATCACCAGTAGTAGAAGTGACTGCGCTACTGTATAGAACTGACTGAGCAGCATCGGGGTAAAGGAACGACTCCGCTCCATGCTTCTCAACATACTGAGAGCTATAGCCGGTTTGAGCCCGGATGTTATTCCAGAAGAGTTTGTAGTCAGCCATACTCACAATAGTCTTGCCATTTAGTTCTAAAGACATCGAATCAATGACGTCCCAGTTTCCACACTTTAGAGTAGCACAGAAACGATTCGCAGCTGTTGTCTGAGCCGTAGTATCGTTTTTCATAGTAACCTTGTAAGGAAGCATGATGTAAGCATCGCGGAGCGGAGCAAATCCCTCACTTCCGTTCAGCTGAGCCGTAGCGTCAATCGTAATAACACCATTCTGGTACGAACCCTGGTTTAGATCAATAACGAACGGCACGCGCTTGCCGGATGATACTTTGATCTCCGGATCGCTTGTCAGCGAGCTTTGGTATAGGTATTGGTCGGAGAGTTGTGTTTCAGACATTGTTGAATCTATATGTCCCTCAATATAGTTTTCATAAAATTGAATATTATGACCGACCTTATCAAGCCTATTACGAGTGATCACGATCTTATAGGACTCGCCGAAGAATAAGGCGTTCATCTTGATGATATTTTTGAATCTAGTGAGATTACAAAACCGCTCTCAAAGAAAGGGGCATGCTTAATTCTATTGAGGCCACCAAATCTCGATGTAGGACATTGGACGGCAGTCTACAACGGAGAATATTTTGATGGTATGGGCGAAGGGCCTCCACGAAAATACGGAATTAAACGTTACAATAGTAAGCAATACCAAGGGACATACGGTGACTATTGCGGGCCTTTCTGTCTTCTTTGGTTATATTCAAAGCAGCCAATATATTCAAAAAGATGAAAGATCTGAATTTGACCATTCTAGAATAATTTGTTTCAGAAAATATAAGCATGTATCGTGAATTAACGATTTCTAGCAATGTTCAAGAGCGGAAGCTGACTAAAGCAGTCAAGACCGGTAAACTCAGTCTAACAGCTGACGAACTGAAGGGTAGCGGCAGCGTTATTCATCTTCACCCCGCGTCGCACGAGAAGGCCCTTAAGGCACGTAGAGCTGGGCGTGGTGTTCGACTTGATATCACTAAGCACGAAGTCAAGAAGGGTTACAAACGAGCTCAAGGTGGTTCCATTTGGAGCAAAGTTTGGCGAGGAATTAAATCGGCTTTCAAATTCGCAAAGGACAGTGGAATTCTTTCGCGTGCTGCCGATGCTGCCGTACCTGCTCTAGCTACTGCTTTCGGAGCCCCACAGGCTGGAAATCCCTGCTCGTGCAGCTATTAAATCGATGACAGGTATTGGTATTCACGATAGCGATGACGTTGAGGGGAAAGGAAGGACGGGCGGTCGCGTTTCAGTATCAGCTGATGTCAAGAAGGCTGCAAAGAATGCTCTATCATACGCTAAACGTAAGGGGGTTCTGACATATGCTGTTGATGCTGGAGAAACGTATCTTTTAAGCAGAGCTACAAAACCTGAGCATGAGACACTAATCAAATCTGTACGTGGTGAAGTGCGACGACGCTACGGTGTTGGGGTGCCTAAAAGTAAGAGGCCTGCAAAAGGGTCCGCTGAGATGAAGGCTAGAATGGCTGCGGTTCGTGCTAAGCGGGTAGTTTTAGACTGTAATCAGACAAAAAATTTTTTGATACAGTCAGTTTATTTTTTGGCCGCAGTAGAAGCATGATAGATACGGAAGTATCACGGAACTTAACCTTTTAATCGTTTTGGTTATAAATACTGATCGTAAGAGAAGAACGAGAACCATTGTGACAGTTCATCCACGCATACTGACTTGGTTTATACGAAATCAGCTGGCCAACAGAAGCATCACCGCGGTCGAATGCACTCAGGATATCACCGCTAGCTACGTATTCATTCTTAATGATGTCACATCGCACGATATAGCTCGAGGTTGGGTGAATCTGAGGAATAATGTTCGATAGCTGAGCACTTGCTACAGTAGCAGGAGAAGCAGGGTAAGTTCCAGTCGTCAGACCAACAACCTTTTCAAATGCTGCGTTATCGATGATAACACGTGGTACACGAGCTGTAGTAGGTAAGCCCGTACCACCAGAGCTGTATAGCCCAGCAGCAGGACGACTGTAAGCCACAGGTAGACTTGTCGGAGCTGCGCTAAAATCAAACTGTGCCGACAGAAGTAATTTTTGTCGTTAGCCTTGATCCATTCGAACGTCTTGTCGCGGTACTTTCCGAACCCAACTGTCGTTCTTGCTAGGAAATAGTGGGCTAAGTCCTTCTTTGAGGGCTCAGATACACAGGCGCACTCGAAAAGGGACTGAATATACGAGTCATCAACACCTAAGAGACTCTTAGGTTTTCTCCTCTTATATTTCCCGAAGCTTAGCTTCTCATCGCTAAACGATGCCAATCCTCGCTCTCGACAGTCCTTACAGTACTTATAACCACCTCGGTACCGGTTTTGACATCCGAGGCAGACTTTGTAGTGCCCACCAAAACGTTTGGCGCACTCAGAGCCGACGAAGTGGTGATTCTGATCCTTATCGATGATTAGGAAGTGCCTCTTGATGGAGATGCTACCATAGCAACGGTCCACAACGTTGGGATAGTACGCGGGGCACGGATAGATCTGTGTCTTGCATACCTGTGCCCATCTCTTTTTAATCGCGTCCCAGTACCACCCCGAGGAGTGGTAGTGACTCAGATCGCCAAGTAGAACGCAGGGTTGTAGATACTTGAATTGAATATTGGCTGCGGATAGGAAAAACCAGAATTCATTTTGTCTGAAGCTATATAGATTAGACGATAAACGAAATCAGAGAATCCATACAATCTGTAATTGTGCATCATGAGCAGTATCCCTGATTTCGGTGCTTCGCTACCAAAGAAGTTCAAATCTGCATCAATGGGTGATATCACAGCGTTAGATATCAAAACCTTGTTCAGAATGATTGTACTGGGTCCTTCGTTTAGTGGGAAGAATAACCTCTGCCTATTTATTTTTAAAAATGCGCCACATGTGTTTACACACTTGACCATTATTGCTCGCAATCCTCATCAGGAGCTTTACGAATATCTTCGTGATAAACTAGATGGATTTATCACTTTTGCTGATCCGGATTCACCCCCAAGCATTGATCAAGTACGAAGGACTCCAATAAACTCCAATAAACACGAGCTTATTATCATAGATGACTACAGCAATGATAAGCTACTGCAGAAGAATCTATTCAGTCATTATTTCACTCGAGGCAGATACTTCAAGCTAAGTACCATATTCCTTAGTCCTAGCTACTTTGCCACAGATAAAATGATACGACTCAATTCAGAGTATGTAGCAATTCTAAAAGCCAATTCGAAGCGTGATTTAGCAATGGTACTGAAGGATTTCGTTGATGAACGTTCAATCGCTCATTGGGCTACCGAGAGAAAGGGTCAAATGCTTTTCATTGACTCAGTCAAGGGACAATTGCGATATAATGTTGATCATCCCATTCACATCGATGACTAATTATAAATCGACATAAGTTTTGATCTATTTGATATACATCAAGATGGCATCGTTTGTTAAGCTTGATTCGACTAATCTCGTTCAAGATGGCTACAATTCCACGTGGAAGTACTCTTTCCCAGGGTCTGCAGCTGATTTCAAAGCGCTGTTCAGTCTATCTCTATGTACAACAGCGAGTATAATATCGATTCGCTTCAATTTTTGAAAAACTCGTTTAAAGTAGAAGTACCAACTGCTGCTACAGCTTCTACCATCAGTATTACTCTTGCTGACGGTATTTACACCTATGCAGATATCAACCGAAGCATTCAGACTGCTCTGGTGAATGCTGGAGCCTATTTGATTAATGCATCGGGAAATAATGTGTTCTACATTCAGCTGAGTGAAAATAGTGTATATTATGTGGCTCCAGGGTCTTGACAAGGCTTATGCTAAGTATCTCTGAATTAATTAATTTTGAAAATTTTTGTCGGGGCTAAGATACAAAATCAATCCTGATACAGGACCCAACACATATAAAGTCAAGCTCACCGGATTATTATTGCCACACATATATAGCAAACATGCTTGCATACGAGCTTGAAGGATTAAAGCGATAAAAATTCAAGCTATTAAATGGGGCAGCAGCTACCGAGTTAAGGTTCACGGGAAAACTGGAAGGATGGTTTATGTTAGTAATCTATCCCGCCCAAGCAACCAACAGCTAGTAGCTAAGCAATACAAGGTCAGTGTAGATAAGTTGAAGAAGCATATTTCTTCCGACTACAAGACCGACCCAAAGTACCGTTTCTATAAGGGTAAACAGATGGAATCACACCTATACGAGGGAATTCAGCCTGCTGGGTTCTACGAAAAGCTTGAAAACGTCCTTGCTAGTCAAAAGAATGCCCTCAAGATCAACATTGCTCTTGGATATGATCTAATGAGCAAAACGAAGGATAGCTTCACACAATATTGGCTTCCTAATCTTGCAAATACTAACTTATTTGAGAGACCTGTTGCTATCAATAGCAAAGCCGATATCCATAAGAAGATTATTTCTGAGATTCAATCGATGGAGCTGGCGGACAAGTTGAAGTATCCTAGCTCTGGCTATAAACTAAAGGCAATTACTGGATTAACAATCTTTATTTACCATCGTGATTATGCCCTAGGAGATAGCGAGGTCGTATTTCCTAAGATTATTCGTGATAACCACCATGTAATTAACTTTCCAAAGACGAACAACAAGTGCGTCTTCCACTGCGTGGCTTGGCACTTACTGGGGGGTAGTAAGAAAGATCCTCGTAAAATCTAAGCGCAGGTGAAGGAAGTGTTCGAGCGCTACTGCTCCTACAAGGGGATTAGCTATACGTTGGGTCTCTTCCGTAGCTTTAAGCCAATCGATCTTTTACAGCTTGACGAACTTGAAGAATGCTTTCAACTATCCATTAACATCTACTCTATGGATGTTGATGCTGGGAAGGTTGACTGCGTTCGACGCTCCGATAAGAATTACGATGCTATGAGCATTCTTTCGCACGATCATCACGCTCTATACATCAAGAACATTGACATTGTCACGCGGTAGTGTGAGACGCAGGTAATACAACCTTGAGTTGTAGCCGTAGGACTTGAGTTGTAGGCGGTAAACTGAGAATGAGATTAAGAATGAAGTTAAAGGAACGAGAGCTACTTGGTGTCGTCCTGCTCTAGCCTAGGAAACCATATGAGAAGCATCTCGGCTATGACTTGTAGAGACGGCTTGGCAGAGCCACGAGTTGCTGGCTGTCCCATTGGACAGCCAGCGTGTGCTCACGTTGAATGCCAAGGTTATGGGTTGAACCATGACAATCTTTTCCCCGAAGAGGAGCATAGCTTCTTGAACAGCAAAAATTATCGGGGAGCCGAAGGCGTTGAGTGGCGTGTTGAACGACGGGGTCTGGGGGATTGGTGTATTTTTTCGTAGATATCAATCAGATTTTGAGCTTGGGTCAAATTAGTAGCAGGTTCCCATGAGTCGTTGACATCTCGTTCATACCAGCGAACCTTGTAATGCAGTGTGCCTCGCCGCACCTTCTTCCCTACAATCGCTTGTACCTGGAATCCCTCGTGACCTTCGCGTGTTATTAGCCGTGGCACGTCGTTTAGACGCCGGGGATTCTCATCGAAGTGATACGATCTCAAATAGGAGACGTGAAACTCGTCATGGATCCGAATTCCCGGTGGTAGCCCAATTTTATAGGTATCCGGCGTTGTTGACTGCACTACTGGGTATGGCCCAATAAACCTTGGGGCGAGTTTTCGCTTTCCAGATACACCAACATGGGGCAGGTCGAGATTAGTCGTATCCAGTAGAACTTGGTCACCAGGCTCGAAGTGATGCGTCGGACGATTACGATCATGGAAAAACTTCATCGTTGCCTGTGCGACTTCAGTGGCGACTTGGCATTGCTGGAGCACTGCTTGCTGGTGTTCCACAAATCGAATCGAAGATTGTGCTTGACCTCTTCGAGTCGGTAAGGCAATTTCACTCACGTATCTGGGGTTGTACCCAAGATCTGCCACAAATGGTGTCATGCCGGTGCTTGGGTGAACCCGCGAATTGTATGCAAATTCCGCTAGCGATAGTAACTCGCTCCAGTCAGTTTGCAGCGGCGATACAAATGCTCGTAAGTAGTCAGCGATGAAGTGGTTGGTTCGCTCTGTTTGTCCGTCGGTATCAGGTCGAAATGCCGAACTAAGCTGCAGCTGTGTGTTCTGGAACTTCATTAACTTTGACCAAAAAGTATACGTAAATTTACTGTCGCGGTCGGAAGTGATAGTATCTGGTAGGCCATGCAACCGCTGGTATTGGTCTCGGAAAATTTTGGTTGCTTCTTCCGCTGTGCAAGTAGTGGTCGTCGGAATAAAATGTGCCCTCTTAGTAAGACGGTCGACAATTACCCATACAGCATCGTAGAGTCCGTGCCGAGAACGTGGAAGGCCGGTAATAAAATCCATAGTAATTTGGCTCCATCGACGGTCAGGAATTTCTAACGGATGAAGCAAGTCCGCTGGTTTTCGTTGCGATACCTTGATCCTTTGGCACATTTCGCAAGTAGTAACGTATCGCTTCACTGTCTTTTTCATGTGTAACCAGTAAAACTTGTCTTGGAGAGCAAGAAGAGTCTTCAGACACCCAGGATGGCCACTGGAAGCAACATTGTGATGCTCATAAATGATAGCATCCTTCAAATCCTGGCTGTCCGGCACACAAACTCGTCGAGGTGCGTCAGCACGCGGTTGAAAGTACAGGATGTCATCTTCGAGAAAGAAATGGTTGATGTTCGCACGAATCCGGCGGTGAAGCCCCACTGGCGGTGTGGTCTCAACTACTTGGGACGATTGCAGAAGCTGATATAGAGGACCGAACACGGAGTCTTCAGGGTAGAGCTGGGTACATTGTTCCAGAATGTAGGGTCGGCTTCTAGCGTAGTGCAGATAAACGTCTCCGCCACTGTCTTCAGTTTCGTGAGCTGTGGTAAGTTGTCGAAGTAAGCTGGCTAAAGACACGTAATGTGTAGACACCTTTGGCTGAAATGCCGAATTACGGGAAATTGCGTCCGCAACGATGTTTGTGTCGCCTGGTATCCAACGAAACAATGGCTGGTATAATCCCAGCTCATTTAGCCAGCGCGCGAGACGCTGCGAACAAGTCTTCTGCTCCAATATCGTTTGCAGAGTTCGATGATCTGTGTTGACGAAAAATGGCTTGTCGACGAGGTAAACCCTCCAAACGCGCATTGCATGCAAGGCAGCTAGCAGTTCCTTCTCGCGCGTGGGATACATTAATTCAGCGCGATTGAGCTTTCGTCCATTGTAAGCAATTACTCGTTCCTTGCCGTCCGCATCAAGTTGATAGAGATACCCTCCAACAGCATAGTCTGAAGCATCCATCCGGATGTGGAAATCCTTTGACGAATCGGGGTGAGCTAAGACCGGTGGCGATGTCAGCACTGTTTTCAATTTGGTAAAGCAATCACGTTGCTCCGGCGTAAGTTGAATCTGCTCCTGTGCTGTTTTTCCTTTGGTGGCTTCGACGAGTGGTGCTGATATGTCCGCGTAATTCTCGCAGAATTTCAACACATAGACACAGGTCCCCAAGAATGATTGCAGCTCGCGCTTTGTCCTAGGCGGTGGCCACTCGCGTTTAACTCGGATCTTGTCTGGGTCCATTCGAACGCCATCGCGCCCAGAGTTGTCTCCAAGACACGGAATCTCCGCGGAGCAAAACGTGCATTTTGCCAACTTCACGTAGAGTTCTTGATCCTGGCAGCGCTGCAAGACAGCATCCAGTGCACGTAAGTGGTCTTCGATCGCGGTTGACTTCGTGAAAATGATGAGGTCATCAAAGTAAGCTTGACAGAAGGCTTTCTGATCACTGAAAACATGCTGCATCAACCGATTAAAGGCAGAGGGGCTGCACGATAGTCCCATTGGCGTGACCAAGTACTCAAACTGGCCGTCTAGAGTCGAAAATGCTGTGTACGGAATATCTGATTCCCGTAGCCGGACCTGGAAATATCCCCAAAGAAGATCTAATGCAGAAAACCAGTGACCGTTGGCCATTGCATCAAAGATGTCTTCCTTCCGAGGAATTGGCGTGGCTGGAATGCGAATTTTGCTGTCAATTGCTCGAAAATCGTGAACAATGCGCCAGCCAACTGCCTTTCGGACGCAAACTGTAGGCGACGAGTACGGAGACTTGGACGCCCTGATAATACCCGCGTCTAACATCTCCTTCGTCCACTGCCGTATGGTCCGTTTCATTTCTTCGCTGAGCCGATACTGCTTCCTTGCTACTGGAGTGTCGTCGACAAGCTCAACTTCAGCTTCAATATCCGCTGAGCGCTGTGGTGGGCGATTAGGTAGTTGCATGCGGAACACGGTGTCTTTGTACTTCATTACCACCGGTTCCACAGGTGATCCTTTGATCTTGTCCCAGTCCTGCTCGAGCTGCCGGGTGGCCTTCTCTGTTG